CGATTTTAGTGCGCCATACTTGTTCTAATGAGAAATTTACATATTTGTTGTAGTGATTATTACCAAGCGTGAATCCTACTTTATCTTCTCTTTCCTAAGCGCTAGTGGTTTGCCGAGTCAAGCCGACAGGTCTAAGCTGCCCGACTGCTCGTGGTGAACACGGCCTGGCGTTTGCTGTCCATGTACCGTGCCACAGCCAGACATGCTCCTCACTTAAGTTAGGTGTGCGTGCCCTAACCTGCGACGCTTCTCTCGCCGTACCAGCGTTGGCAAACTAAATCGCTTGCATTCCACAGGAAGTATGCGTGATGTGTTAGGGAGAGCTGTCGAGTTTGCACTTGGTATGATGACAAGGTCTGGACGTTTTCATTTTAATAAGAATTTCATATATACGCATATGACCAAATAAACTCATGCGATGTTCGAATGGCCTAAGACCATTTGGACAAGTTAGACAAAAGTATCGGTTGTGTGTTAGGGTTTCTCATGCCGATTCGTTGATCTGGGCCGTCAAGCGAATGTTTACGGTGTTGGTAGAGTTTTTTTTTTACTATGTTCCAAGAGGGTGTTCCTGAATAAAGTGTATGTTCAGACAATTGAAGAAGACGTAGGCGAGGGCTGTGCTTGCAGTTTTGAGGAGAGAGGTGCTTCGGATGGTATTGAAGAGTTATTAGTTCCCCTTTCGTTGGTATCTGAGCACGATCGTCATAGCCTTAAATTCGTGCGTAATTTGTCCTTATTTCTGCATCAACTGTAAAATTTAGGAAATCTGCTCCATGATCTGGAAGCCACTGTATTTGTTAATTTCGAGGGGCATTGTGTTGGCCACGGTGCTTTTTCGGTGGACAGTTTTTCCACCCTGATTGTCCTTAAGACAGACGGCAGACGATCGTGGTCAGCATCGGTGTCCGCTTGAGGAAGTCGGTTGATGGCTTCGCAGATTGTGGACAGATAGTTGAGGTACGCTTTAATGCTTTAGACTTTGCGACCTCCTTCACGGAATTGCTGCATCCTAAATGAGCAAAGGCGTTATCTCCTTGGCCTGGAGACCGTAAACAATCTCGAAGATTGCAAAGAAATTCATTATCCTAGTTTCATTTCCGCTTCCTTTAATTTCTTCATAATTGCCAGTTAGGCAATCGTTTTTTACCCCTCCCCCGCTA